GATAGAAGCGGGAAAATGTAACATTATTTTATATGGGATGTATTCGGGACTGAACAAAATGGAAGATGCATCCGGGAAAACAATAGTTCCGTAACAGAAGCTATTATACTGGTAAAATATAAATATATATAATATAAATAGTAAATAACATCCAATTATACAAATTGTTTTCAGAGAAAATGAACAAAAACACACACTCAACGCACGTTCAAACAGTTAATACATTTAAGACACTTTTTTTTTAAATTGAAGCATAGTAAACATAAAAATTGTAACTCTGCACATGTATTATCGCGTAACCCCTGTGGCACCTAGCTGGACACCAGGCAAATACTTCAGTAAATTATTTTTCTGTGCAGATAAGTTTCTTAGTGCAGGGATGTACTGCATTCAGTCATTTCCCATTCAGGTATACACACCATAGTATTCACTACTCCTAAAATCCTTGGTGGCCTAAGAATGCCAGATACGTACCTCAGTCTTCGAATCTTGTTCACCAATACTGGTGGGCTTCATCCGTCCAGGTTTCCATGCATTTTCAGTTTCCCGCAGCTGAACATCTTCTTTGAGTGAAAGTGTCACATGGATTACAGGCTTATTGCTCTTAGCTTTGCCCTGCTGACTATTTCTCTTTGCTAATGGCTGCTGTGAAAAAATTGAACCAACATAACACCAGTTCAATGTTCATTTCTATCCTACATACCATCTTGTTCTAAAGACAATCCGATAGATAAAAACATCCAAGCAACCAACTTTCCTAACCAGTACTGAGTTCTAACAACAAACTGGTAGATAAAATAAGTTGCACTGAAACTTACTTCAGTGGGAATATGCCTTTTGCAGAACACTAGCATATTGTACACAACACTTAACTGATCTGGGAATATGCATATATGTACATATATCACAAAGTGACTAAACAAAATATTCACATACTTACCCCTCGAGAATTGGGCGTTTTCATGAAGCCGGGAGTAAATGAATCATGAGACGATCTGTCAGGGACAGTCCTATTCATACCAAAGAATGTCCGATCTATAACACGCTGCTGTAAGCAATTTTACAAAAATTATGCACAAAACTTAAGACATTCCAAACTGCACTGTGAAGGATGAAATCGAAGCTAAGTGAATTTTACAACACTAAATTGACAAAGTTTTCCTTAATTCTTTGATCTAGTCACTCAATACATTTCAAAATGCTTTCTACAGGCCAGTAAATAATATTTCTGTATGCACAAAACCCTAGAGAGGAAAGGTGGAATCTGGGAATACCTCCTTTCAGTTTCTTGTGTCCATATCTATCTATATCTCTCTCTATAAACACACACACAATCATACAGTTTTGGTTAATTTATAAAATGTCTTCGACTCATCGCCTCACTATCCCAATGTTGAACATACTCTTCTCACCCCTCGAAATTCAATGGCCAGCCAATACTGGTCACTAACGAATTTGTCACATATCCTGAATCACAAGGAACTTCTTTTGCTTACACCATGTCTTACAAATTAAACCTGACAGCTACATATCTAAATGTAATCCATGTCCCACCTCCACAACATATGATACAGTCTGAAGTAGATACAACGTTGTGCAGTGAATTACACACTTTCAGGGCACTTATTACTCTTCATACCAATATTAGCCAATTTCCAATTATCACCTAATATTTATGATTGTAAAGAATCCTCCTTGTATGTACAATGCAACTCAACAGTTATTTTTAGAGGCACACCTCACATTGCGGCCACTTCGAACTTACCCGATTTGTATTATCTTTCAGTACTATTTCAAGATCAGGCAAATTATCTGGTTTCCTCTTTGATTGAGGATCATTCTGAAGTTCCATCAGGAAATCCCGCTCATATTTCTTCTTTCCTTCTGGATTCAGAGGACTCCATTGGTCTGGAAGATAAACATGGACATCAGCTGACATATCATATACATGGATGATACATCACTCAAGTAACAACAGCCTCAGCAACGAGGAATTCCAGTTCTGTATCATCATAAAATATCCGAAACACTTCTGCTCATCACTGGCATTGTTCAACAAATTATATGCATACATGAAGATTGTATTGAAGTGCCATCTTGTAGTTGACAATATAAATGTTATTCTAGACCATCTTTACAAAATTTTAAAACTGATCAACTAGCAAGTCTATAACCTTCCACAGTACGGAATTTTATGGGATGCACATAACTTCCAAAAGATTTCTGATATAAATTATCACTGCACATACTGTATGTCAAAATATAGTACACAGCCCCAACTCACACTTCACCAAAGTTCGTACTGTAAGATAAGATGCAAATTTACAGCATGGAGACACTGCTAAAAAGTTAGGCCATTTGTTAAACAGACAAAATTGTTTTTAAAACCTATGAATAAAAGTTTGCAGCAGTACAGGAAAGAAACTGCTTTTTATAAATGGAGTGAATATTTGAAATGGCTTACAGTTCTCAGCACTGACAGTTATCTAGTCGCTCCTTGACCAGTGCATGCATTTTCTGGCTTACCTTCTTTATAAGTATGCCTGAGAGCAAGCACAGTAGATTTGGCCGCAGGAATATTCTCTATGACAGGTGTTGTACAATTGCCGACATCCTCTTTAAGAGTTGCAGCAGATACCTTTGCATTCTCTTCATTGCGAGCTGCTACCAGCTTCTCTTCTTTGTCAGCTTCTGTTTCCTCATCCTGCACAATTTAACAATTAAGTAACCAACTTTAACTTCAATACAATGGCATCAATTCAATATACTTTCAATCGTTTTCAGTTTATGAAACATTAACTTTATTACCCCCCCCCCCATAACAGATACACTTCCACACTTTCCTAATTTGGTCATGCCTAAAGGAACAGGTGCAATGTTTTAAACCAGTGGTATTCAACCTGGGGTACACAAAGACAACTTAGGGGGTACGTGAAATTTAAAAAAAAAAAAAAAAATTATGATAAACACTGAATAATCAGTAATGTAATTTATTTCAGATGTAGATTATATACTATGTATAACTTGAATTTTACACCAACAACTTTGGGGGTACAAAGTTGAAGAGAAATTATAGCTGGGGGTACGCAAACAAAAAAGGTTGAATACCACTGTTTTAAACTATGGCAACCAACACTTTCTCACCAGTATTGATTTTAACCTGACGCAAAGGTAATCCTATCTTACACCTGCAAATACATATAGCAGCTGCAGCTAGGTTTACATAAATTATGGGAAATGTAACCAACATTAAGTCTAGATGCCAAGTGAAAAATTCAGGAGACAAGTATAGACAAAACACAAGGACTGAAACCTATTTACATGTTTTGATGTCCATATATGAAATAATTTTCTTTTGGGTAACATGTTATATACCAAAGCCACGGGTACAGTCCTAAGCAAATCAAACTGCTTGCTTCAAGAGTAAAAGGCACACTCCAAATTTGCCAGCACACTTTAAATGTTTATGACCCGCAAATCCTGAAGCATATGCTCAGATTCCATGTACAATCAGAGAGTATCAGAAACTCCAGTCTGGCATGACAATGAAATATCATCACTGCATTCTTATGCACTCATTCTGTTTTAAGAATATAAAACACATTTCCTCTTGAAATTACATGTGCGTAAATAAATCAATCACAATTTCAGCTTAAATGCAGAGCCAGAACTTTACTGCTACAATGACAGTAGAGCTCAGATTACCCAAATAGAGTTAAATCTTATACAGGACTTTTCACTTCAACCTGCTATAATGTGTTAAAGTGAACCCACACTTGTACACAAACCTGAACTATTTGATTGTCAGACGCTCTGTTTGGTGTTGCTGGCACTGAGGGTTGAGAAACTGGAGATAGTGAAGGAGGTGTCAAAGGAGCAGCTTCTTCAGGACAAGGCTCTGTGAAAGCATCCATATCTGTGCCACCTTCTTTCTCAGCTCCCTTACGGTTAATGTCACGCATCTTCACGTTACGCTGCTGCTTTGGCTTTGAGCGATGGGAAGCCTTACCTGAAAAAAAATATGCAGACAATATTATATACTACAAAACACATTTTCTTCACTGAAGATGTTTGATATCAACAAGTACCAAAAACCGAAATACTCCTTAAGGACTGGTAATCTAATTGTGATCTACAAATTGTGGTGGTTATATAGCCCTGGTGGTGAGAATTATTCATACCCACCATTAAAGATTGAAACAGCATGAAACTTCATTCACATTTATAATGTAATGAACCCCATACTATCACACCCAAGTACAGAACGGGGTAGTCACCAAGCAATGCAACTTTCCCACTAGCCGACCCTGAAAGCAGGACAAAGGGGAAGTGAAAAGGAGGCTGCACAGCCTCATTGTATGCAAATGACTGTTTACTTATAAAAAACCAAGGTTCATTACTATCCTAAACTACCACTTGAGCCAGATCAATCCAGTTCACCCATACTTCCCTACCCTGAAACATATGAATCCAGCACAACTCTCCCTTATTTCCTGACAACCAATTTCAATATTCTTCCTACCAATGCCTAGGCCTCCTAAGTGATCTCCAGCCTTGTGCCTTCAAACCAAATATTGTGTGCATTTCTTTCCTCCCCTAGGCATATTATATGCCCATCTGCATCTTCTTCCTTACATACGTGAATGACAGCACGCAATACATGAGAGTTTATTCTGCTATTAATATAGTTTATATTACTTCCATTCCAAAGCACTTGCACCGTCACAATACCTTCAACCATAACTCTATACTTGACAGAACCTATAAAATGGTCTATTTTCTAGGTAACTTCCTATATTCATTTATATCTCTATGAATTTAAAATACAAGCAACATGTCTCAACCCAGATCAAAATAGCAATGGTTCCGAAGCACATCTAAATATAGATAGCAAAAGCAACTACTGAGATTCTGTGTAGCATGGTGAGGGGGCAGAGACACAGCCAATGCAGCATAGCTTGTATGTTAACACACAATTCCTGCTTCAATCCACCAAAATCAAGTAGAAATTACAAAAGATGTCCATGGTACCAATTCTCCTAATTACTCTAAAATAGACCCATTATGGAAAGAAAGAGCTCATTGTACACGAGGCACTGGCAGAAGCATCAAACCAAAACCGTCTCTAGAATTTGAATATAAATTATAAAAATTGTGACAACATCCCAGTATTTTGAACAATTTCCTTTTAGTTCAAGACCACATGTAATACATAATGATGTTCAAAACACAGATCACAAAACACTGCACACTGACTTTACAGAACTTACCAGTCTTTTTAAAAGCTACATTTATAATGATAATGTTTGCTGATAGAATATAAGCTATTTACTTAAAGCTGATAATTTCACTGAAGCACTTCACTGGATATATAAAGAATATAAGCTATTACCTACAAAGAAACAACTTTTATGAAAATTCCCCAGTGTTAATTGGCACAGATATTTGATATTCATGCAAAAGGTCAAGAACAAGAAATTATTACATGATACACCCATTTTAGCCTCTACAAGCATTCCATTATCACATGATCTTTGCCCTCTGCATTATAAGGAGATTCCACACAAAATGCTTAAACACATTCTATCCAGTTACACAGCCATTCAGACAATGAATCATATGAATAAAAGAACTCTTCACAATGGTTCACAACTTCTTCCTTATTTGTAATTAATTATTAGTTATACTCTACATGAGGACACACAGGACCCCTGATACCCATTCTACAGGACACTGGGTAGGCCCCAGAGTTGGCCTGGAAGCAGAGGCCAGAAGAAAACTACTTTGCCCTTTGCCAGTGATCAAACCCTATTCCTCCAGTCAACAGTTAGTCATTACACTGACTGAGCTGCCCCAGCAATCATAATGGAATGTTATTTGAAACAGGGATGTTACCCCTTTACTTAGTAACATAATTCCCACAATACTGTGCAGTATTTGATCTAATCAATTGTAAGAAGATCACTAAACATAAAGATGGTAATATACTTTTCCTCATTCTCCTATGGCAACGTAAACAATTGTAAAGGGGCTTCACTTGAACAACACATATCATGCAAACCTGAAACTGAATATACAAAACCACTAAATGCCTATACAAATTCGATAAAAATATAAAATAGCATCAAGTTATAAAAACCATAAAGAAAAATGGAATCTGTAGTATATTCTGTTGTAGTTTATCTAAAAGTAAACACAAGATAGACCACAGTGAATACTCATCAGCAGATTACAGGATAAAATCATAATGGAAAAGGAAACACAGTATAACCCCTCTCAAAAGGAACAAAAAATCAAATAGGAAAAAAGAGAACATGTAAACAACACACAGCATCTCACATCTCAACTCAGCACTCAGACTGTCCTCACAAAACTACATAACCTCTATGATAAATGCAAATTGATTGAAGTCTCTTGAGAAGCTAGCTAAAAGATATGTCTGCTAGTAGCAACTACTTCACGCCTTTTGTGGAACCTTGAGTGACATTACCCTGTTCACAAGAATCCATCAGAGAGACAGTGGCACAAATATAGGTCATTCTCACACACTATTTCTAAAGAAATTCAATTAAATATTATAGATTTGAAGTTTCTACAGAAGTGAAAATCTGATTCCAATATTACGGCTTATAACTCAGTGAAGTCTTGTACTTTATAACCAATGTTTAGGAGGAAAAGGAGTCTTAATATGGATATAATATATCCCCTAAAATGTTGGTAACCATCTGTAACATTACATGTCATCTTAATTGAGACAGCAACACCAATTTTAACACTTCCTATCTACATAAGTCTTCCATCTCTTCTCTTGCCTTCAAATTTTCTTACAATTATTCAGAACTTTTACACAATAAATCAATCCAAAACACCACACACACACACACACACACGTGCATACACTTCCTGCAAGCTGACAACAGAATCCAATCCTGCTCCTAAATGAGAATCTACACCCAAAACACTAGCCAAGCTTAGGTACAGAACATTGTGACAAGTAACGCTTTCGGTTTAAGCACTCCAAAGTAAAACTGGTGCAAACTACATCCCATGAGAAACAACATAAGCACTGTTGCAATACAAAATGAACACTTCCTTAAAATATTTTGAAACTCAAAACTCCATGAAAACTCTTTCAAGAAAAATAAAACCCATTCTACACAACTTCCAATGAGGCAACTTGAAACATCCAATAACAGCAAATGGAGCCAATTCAAACCATTCTGGTACACAGGCTGCTTTTGAAAGGAAGGTGCACTAGGGTCTACTACAAAATGCAAAGTAAACTCAACTTCACTGTGATGAAATTCCTGGTAAACTGTCGAAGCACCACTTACAAAACGTGATTCAATTACAAGGTTAATCACAACTATAAGTGCCACCTACTTTGAGTCAGTCCTGTATTTTGTACAGTGTTATTTGCTGGTTTCACATGATTATCAAACGAAACAGCTGACATTTCCTTAAACAGCATTAAACAATTAATCTTTTTATAATATAATTTAAAATCGTTATTTTTGAAAAACTAAATTTTTAAAAACCATTTTTATGAGTTCTTGCCTCAAAGTGTTAATCACCGTCGCCATAAAAGTCAAAGAAACGTGTTGAAATACACTACAATGGCACACAAAATCTGCATGAGACATCCACTCCCACCTATTTCTGCACCACAAGGCAAGATGTTAATGAACGCATAAAACTGCCGATTAAGATCAATTTCGATTGTTATCCACCTCCATCTTTGTATCCTTGTCGTCCTTCACTGTATCGGCTGCTACTGCAGCTACGACTCCTTCCACATCTCCGGCCTCGATTAGCGGTACTCGAACTCCCTGAAGACATTCCTTTTCTGCGTTCCGTTTCTTGAATGACTGTATTACTAGGCAAGACACACTACGCCATACCACAGTCGAAGTGCACGCTACCACTTTGTAGAACCTACCTCCTTCACACGACTACTACAACATTCTAGTTGTCTGCTGCAGACAAAACGCAAATCTAAATTAGTTTCTAGCTTTGGCCGTACATCGTCTTGCGGCGCTCTCGCAGCATCAAGATCATTTACCTCGATATTCAGAAATGACAAAACATGGGCAATGACATAGTTCGGTTAACGTACCACGACCGAAACTTAAATTTTGGCAAAATGCATAGAAAGGCCCAGTCTGTACTCAGTTGTAACGTCGGCGCAAAACCCCCAGCACCGATACTTCTACAAAAAAGAGAAACATGCTATTAAAATAAAAGCACAGATGTCAGCGCATCTTTCAACTTCGTTGTCACGGACCAAGAATAGTAATTTTGCCTGCGCCACCAAATCCGCGAAACAAACACTGATCTCCAGGAAAATGCATGGTCACCGCATCACTGAGTGTGTGCCAAAAAGTTGCCAAAATAGTTCCTTAGAAGTTCCTTTCCTGCGGGAACTTTCATACGTAATATTACAACCGAACAAAAGATCGGACTTCAGAGCCAAAGCTCCATATCTCCAGGAATTCATCAAAGTCATTCACCCCGCAGAAGAGGGAGAAGTTGCATGAAGTTATATTAAGTGCCATTTACCATCGCTACATCACAAACGTTAATAAAGTACACGAGTCAGCGCCCTACAAAGCACGCCACGAGAATTTGCAATAAAGGCCAAGTCGCAATTTAAAACCACTAATTTTCCTCGAACACGGAGAAGTGTGCAAGAACCATAAACGAGTAATTACATTAATAATTTCTGTGCGTAACTTCCATTTTGATTCCAAATGAATTTATAAGGTATAAACTCATAAGGTTAGGCACTGTTGTCATTTATTACGTGCTCAACGATACTGCATACAAAATTTGCAGGTGAATCACAAGTATAGTAGTAGTAGCAGCGTTCTAATAAGACTCGAACAGACGTGTCAATACAGAGTTTCTAGAAATTCCGCCAACTGTTTCAAAAAGTATTCGAGAAAACACATGTACATGATACAAACTCATTTTCCATAGTAAAACAGGCAGTAAACATATTTTGGCACC